GCAGGAATGAAGCTGCCTTGCACTTCCCTTCCTAAAACAAGCTCCCATTCATTTTTGCACCATGTAAACACAGAAGAGGAAGGTGGTGCCTTGTGGAAAGGCTTGCTGTGAAACACTGGAAACAGACCTGATCTATCTGTGTATGTCGGTCAACCATTGCAGTGTGGATGTGATGTTCTTGGATGTAAAATACAGAGAAGATCATCCGTCCACTGCAAAGTGCACATGTCCCTGCTGAGTCACCAGTCCAGGCTGTGTCTGCAACCATTTCTCACCACTGAATGCTATTTGCCAATCTTGCCTCTTTCTTGGGCAAATCTGAAGGATGAGAGATGGGAGCCAGTACAATCCATCCTGCTGGTGTGGGATAAACCATTTTAGGGGATCTTCCATGGAGAAAGGCATGGTTTGCTTTTGGGTTTTTTTTTGCTATCCCCCTGCTCCAAGTTAAGGTTGTATATGTTGCCTTCATAGTGCTGTAACAGCCTGCCCAGGGAGCTGGTTGAGTCACCATCTCTGGAGGTGTTTAAGAGAAGGGTAGGTGTTGCCTTGAAGGACATGTGTTAGTGGTGCTGATGGGGCTGGGAAAAGGTTGGATTCGATGATCTTGAAGGTCTCTTCCAGCCAAAACTGTTCTATGGTTCTATGACTCCCTGAGTAATCATATTATCATAGACTGGCCTAGGCTGGAGGGGACCTTAAAGATCATTTAATCCAACCTCCGTGTCATGGACAGGGACGCCTCTCAACTAGATCAGGCAATACATGGAGACCGAATGGGGATTGAACTCGTGACCTTGGTGTTATCAGCACCATGCTCAGTGCAAGTTCTTGCAGGTCTCTCTGCAATGCTGGGCTTGCTCTAGCTGAGAAATCATTTCCACCACATGTGCTAGCTCAAGCATAGCCCGAGCTTTGTGCCCTGCTGCCAAAGGCAGGTGACGGAAAGCTCGAACCCATGGTCGCCTGGAGCATTTCCCATCAGCGTCCGCTGAGCTGAGTTAAGCCCAAACCTTGAGGTCCAAGTTGCAGACCTGAACTTGCCTCCATTGTTTAGTTCTGGATTGGCAGCTGTAGCTTGAACCCGCTCTTGGTGCTAACAGGAGCCTGCCAGAAAGTACCAGATTGACCTGTGGTTGTGTTGAGGCTTTAGCTGATGGTTGATCCTACCAACGTCTTAAAATGTTTTCCTTATGCTTGAGCTCTTCACTTGGCCAATTTTTTTGGGGGAAAAAACACAAAACAAAACTATTCCAGATGGATACAGCTGAAATAGCAAGCGTGGCTGTGGCCAGATGCGAGGATGTGAGCACGAAGCGAGGAGGTCTTCCCACCAGCTCCTAACCAGGGTGTGCTTTTTCTTTGCAGCCCACACGCTCATCTGCTTTTCGTGCTCGGATGCATCCTCCAACTGGGCCTGCCTGAAGCCTGTCAAGTGCGGGGAGAATGAAAACCACTGTGTGACGACGTATGTCGGAATGGGAATCGGTGAGTGGTGACAGGTCCTACTTCTGTGCCTCTTGGCTGCTCTCCTGGGTCACCTGCTGAGCTGCCGGAAGGTTTTCTTTCCTTCCTTTGGCTGGAAAAAGGGGAAAGTTCTGCTTAGCAACTGAGTGTCGGACCATCCCACGGGAATTTGTACGAGGGCTGTGCCGCCAGACGGAATCACGTGAAAGCCCATGTGCCTGCACCAATGCCAGGAATCTGAGGGGGATTTCAGAGTTGGGGGCGGGGAGGTTGCTGATGAATAAATGAAAGTGGAGGATGCTACAGGCTTCCTCCTGTGTTTCACCCTTCCTGCTTTGGCATCGTGCTCAGGTTGTTCATCCCCGAGTCCCACTTTTGCTTCTTTGCTCTCTGTGGACAAAGTGCCAGGAAAGATTTGGGAGGGGGAGAGTATCTGTTCTTCCCAGCTCCTTCTCCAAGGGAAGCGGCATCTCTAGCAGGTCTCCTGGTGCCATGGCAGAGATAAGAGCCCAGCTTGCCTTGCTTTCCCCTGCAGGAGGGAGGGGTGTCAAATGCAACAGTCTGCAACGTGGGTGGGTCGTGCATGCACAGAGGCTGGGAGATTTTATAAACCCATCTTAGCGCAGCGCTAATGGTTTCCTATTTCCTGCTGCTAAATGTGCCCTGAGCCTCTCTCGCAGCCGACAGGTGAAACGCAGACTTGGCTCACAAGGGCCTCCCCGGTGCTCTCTACACCCAGCGCTCGCTGTCTCGCTTGAGGAGTCCCAGGGTCAAGCTCAAGTGGGATTTTTGAGATTCTTCGCTGGAACCGCTGCAGCCAAATTGTGGCCGACAGCCTAGAAGGGGGTGTTGCGTGGTCTCTGGGGTCTGTGCGGGAGGTTATCACGGGTGTTCCTCGAGATGTGTGGGCTGACTGAGATTACTGTTGTAGCCTGACGCCGAGAAGCACTTCGGTCCTCTCTGCACCACCTGTGGTGCTTTGGCTATTTCGGTTCTGTTATTTCCTTCGCACAACAGGTGATCAGAAAGCCGAGAAACATTCTTAACCCGTCTCCTTTTGCTTTTTCTTCCTCTCCCACCGCCCCAACTGAAATTCAGGCAGCAAGTCTGGCCAGTCCATCTCCAAGGGATGCTCTCCCATTTGCCCCAGTGCTGGGATTAACCTCGGCATAGCGGCTGCCTCCGTTTACTGCTGCGACTCCTTCCTCTGCAACATCAGCGGTTCCAGCAGCGTCAAAGCCAGCTACACGGTCCTGGCCTTGGGGATCCTCGTTAGCTTCATCTACGTCCTCAGGGCTCGCGAGTGATGGGGCTGGCCGAGGAAGAGCCGTCTTCCATGGGCCGTCGCGGGTCTCGTTAGCCGATATCTTCTCTGTTGCTGCCTGCAAGGAGTTCCTCTACTTCTCAGCAGGCTTCCAAGGTGATTGTTTCCCAGACTTTCTGCGCTTCCAGCATTGGAGACCTGGGCGGTTTGGCCAAGCTGGTCTCCTCTTTCTCTGGACATAACCCCAGTGCACTCTCACACCTCCTTGGCAAAGCTGGATCGTTTTGGAAGGGTTTCTGCTTTTATACCTAATATCCCCCTCCTCCTCGTTTCTAAAGTTGGTTGAAACAAGGCTGGGACTCGCCGAGGAACCGATTAACCCCAGACACCACCCGGTCAAGCGTTCAGACGTTCCTGCCTCTCACCTCTGTGGAGGTGCCTGGCTCCGGCGTTCTCCAGCTCATGGGTGATCCGGGCATGGGGAATGCATGATCCGAAGGGAGACACATTCCCGGCTCCTTGCAGCTGCAGTCTCTTTTTTATAAAATCGTTTTCGTTTCTTCTGATCCTGGGCTGACTTTTCTGGAAAAAAAAAAAAAACCCCACACAAATGATGTGTACCCTGTCCTTCCAAGCTCTGTAAGTGCCAGACCTGAATAAACATGCTCCTGTTGTTACCTGAGGTGGGATGTGTGCTGTGTGTGTTTCCTTCCTCCAGATGAAAAGATTAGAAGAGCTGTTATGGAAAACCCAAATATTATGCCTGGCGTGAGGGTGTCTTACCCTCTGGAGTGGCTTCTGAGTGCTTCATCTCAGCATTCCTTCCAGTTCACCTCTGAGCAGCAAGTCCATCTCTTCCCTGTTGCTGTCCTTTTTGGTAAACACCCCTGGGCCAGCTTGTTTCACCTGTCTTGGGAATTGCCTTTTCCAGGTGCATTTTGATGAAAAATGCCAGTTATTGGGGTTTGAGTCAACCCCATTATTTCTAAAAGAGCGAGCACACTGGGAACAGGACCTCAAAAAATTAGTCTGCATGTTAAAGACTTGGTGCCTTGATTTCCCTGCTTTGGACTTGAGACGGTGATAGGCAATAACATCAATACCAGAATAATCCAGGGCAACAGGTCTCTTTGCAAAACTTAATGAAACTAGAGGCAAAGATGTCAATGCTCAGTTCTTAAGGTTCAACGTGCAATCCCTGGCTGATGGACTGATGGTGCTCATGGACTGCAGACGTTGACTTCGCCACCAAACCTGCCACCCTTCAGAGCTCAGGATCTATCCAGGTCTTTCAGCAACGTTGCTCCTGGAAGTTCTCAGCCATCGCATGGGAGATGTGTCCTCCTGCCAACTCTGCATCGTGCTGCTTTGCTTGTGTGTGGACCTACTAGATACAAAAAACCCCAAAATTGAGCCTTAAACTGTCAGGCAAAACCCTACTGTCACTTCCACTAATTGATCAGAGACGCACTGGTTTTTTTTTTCTCTTCTAGCAGCAAAAATTTGGTGCAGCATCAGCACTCTTTGGCCATGCCCTTGTATGTGGTTCTCCTGTTTTGTGTCAAAAAAGCAAACAAAATCCTCTTGAGCTGCACACACTGTTCTATTACACCCCTGTTCTTGCTTAAATGAATGATAACCAACTTCTTTTGGAAGGTAGTGTTCAGGTGTATAGAAATATTTGCAACAAAAATGGTTACGTGTTTGTACCTCCTCCTTCTCCCCATCTTTTAATTAAAATGACACAGATGCTAATGACAGCCTTTACCACAGAAGGGACTGGTCATCAGGATGTGACCTACAATTAGGTGATGAGCGTGGTAGGAATCCTTGAATTGTCTTGTTGGTCCCCGATGTGCCTTCCTCTGGTTAATGCATCCTCCCTTTCCTGGTGGGACCTGCCAGAACCACGGGGCTCGAGGTGCACCGCAAACCTCTGCTATGCACTCATAGCACAGGGAAAATGTTGGGGAAAAAAATTATTAGAAATGACCTAAATATTTACCAAGATTCCCTGTGCCTGAGCCTCCCAAGAAACCTCATTTGCAGGATTAGCTTTTTCCTTTGTTGTGAGTAGATGTTGTGAGACCAAGGTAGCACCCAGAGTACTCTACCTTGTGAGTAATGGGGCTGTAACTCTTTTCTAACCACCAAGTCAAAAGTATCTTGGTTTCGGACTCAATTAGCTCCGTAACAACCCTGTGAGTAAAGAGTTAAACTTAAAGCCATCGGTGTAGCTGTGTCCTAATCTTAGGAGACTGGGTTCCCTCCTCCAATGGCCGTCTCCTTCCTATCTTGGTGTTTCAGTATTTGCTCATGCCAATGACTTGATTGTGCAAGGGAGCAAGGGCTGGTGGGAAGAGCATTCAGCAGGCTACTTACCCTATACAAATAACAAGTTATATTAATGGTAGTGACAGGGGACAGATCTGAAGGTCAGGCCGTATGTGTTCTTGAGCCTATAGGTGATGAAGAGATTGCATACAGAGCATTTTTTTTCCCCTCTTCCCTCTCTTGTTGTCTTTCCTCTTCATGTGTTATTTCCCCGCACACTTGATATGTGAAAGAAGAGATATTTTGCAGTTTTTCCTTTCGAACACATGACGCAAAGATCTCTTTGATAGATATATGTATATTTAAGGGAGAAGGAGGGTGTGAGGACTTGTCAAATGTAAGAGGTGTTACTCAACAGTTTGATCCCAAGCACTGTATGATAAGTTCTACCAACTCTCACAATTTCTGGTCCCACTATAGATATTTTTTTGTCCCTAAATCCCCAGCACCAGAAATCATGTGAGAACCTCAGCTGTTGTAAAGCCTGGGAGTGAAAGGCCTTAAAATCTGCATCTGTACTAATTAAAAACATTAATAATAAGGGAAAAAAAAAAGAGCAAGAACTGAGCATTTATAGAGCACTAAAACTGGTGACTTGTTAAACCAAACACCTGATCTGGAACTTGAGGGCCATGGTGGGACAGACCTTATGTGACTTGGATGTGTTTAGCTGGATTGTGGAATTAGAGATTGAAATCTTGGCAGAAAACTCCGATCTTCCCCTTTTCTGACAAGATGAGATGTTACGAGAGTAGGCAACTTTTCTTCTTAAAAGCATAAAATATCCCAGAACGGTTTCCTCTGGAAAATAAGAAGAACTAAAGTCAAATACCTGTCTGTTTTGGAGCATGCTAATGAGAAAATGGTTTCTGTGCTTCCGTCCTGGTAATGGCTGTATTTTGACAGTGGCTGCTGCTGCCTGCCACTGTGCCAACATCGCAAGGGCTCTCATTTTTGTGCACTCTATACGCATTCAAAGCTTACTGCTGCACCAGCCCTTTCCACCCAGGTTTGTTGGGTTTGCCATTTGCCAAAAACAAGGACTTGAAAATGAAGAAAGTTCTTCCAACTGGTTTTGCAATTTTTTATTTTTTTTTTTTTTTTGGCGAAAAGGCAAAATGTCTTCTGGAAAACCCAAACCTGATGTGACCTCCTTGTGCAAACAGACAGAATGAATAAGGCCAGATGCTTAATCATTACTCAAAAGATGCACATTGTTACTCAAAGAACATCCTAGGTTGGTATTAATTTATTCACGTTATGGGTTATTTGACATGACTTGCATCCCAGGGATCATATTTGCCCTGAAGGGGACTGTGGTTCCACCAGCCCTGTAGGAAGCCTGGTAGCTCTGGTCTGAGTGGCTGTGGCTCCACGCTGGAATGAATTATAGGCATCCATGCTCTCCCATCTCTAGGAAAGGCAGATGTGATGCACATCTGGGTGCTTGGAGGTTTAGGACCCTAACACAAGCTCCTGTGACCCCAATGCTTTCGCACCCTGAAGCTGGACTGTGCTTTCGCCGTCGTTCTTGGCGGTGAGGGATGAAGATGGCTCTGAATCCTTCGTTGATCCCAGAGGACTTATTTGGCAGCTGGAAAGGTGCTGTTGGAGGTGATCAAACTGGAATGGGGATAGATACACCCAATTTTGCATTTTGGGAGTGACCGTGGTACCCAGCGAACCCAAGCCCTGGGTCGGTCCTGCCATCTACTGGCTTTTGCCAGCCTGGATGGAGATGCTTTGAAGGAAGTCGAGGAGGAACCTTAAACAGGTGAAATCGGGAGTAGGAAGCCAAGGGTGGGCTATCTTAACCAGATAATTGCATGCAAAGCAGAGAATCAGAAACGTCAGAGACAGGTTGGGTGTTTTCATTTGTCCAGCTTTGCTCTGATGGTGTTGAGAAGTAAAAGGCTTTCCAAGCTTCCCAGGTCCAGCGTTTTCCAAGTGAACACTTTTTTTTCCAGCCCAAACCCTACTGTTTCACCAAAACTGAAACACTTACTGAAAATATAGTAAGGCGAATAAAGTGTTGCAGAAGAAAATACTGACATATTTTATTCCAGCTTTGTTGAATGATCTAATTTCACTGAGGTGGCTACACTGAAATGTTGATTTTACTGATACATTTATGTGAGATTTGTAACTCTATATTATCTTTATCGTACCAGAAGAATCAGAATAAAGAAAAATTGATTCCTTTAAATACATTAACGTAAGTAGTGTATGTTACATATTGTTTCTTATATCCTAATAAAATATATATGGAATTAATAAAAAAGGTACACTTGTTACGACATTTTTGGGTGGTTCTGTAATATACAGATGCTACTTCTTGCTTTGTGTGAAAAGTAAGTGCTTGTAAAGCCCAGCGCTGGGGGTTGCAAGCCAGTCAAAAAGAGGGCAGACAAGGCTGACCCTATACGCTATAGGGAGGGATAAATCCATAGATGCTGTCTCAAGGCCATTGGAGTCTCTTCCTAGTGACGGGTAAAGAACAGGGGTTGTCTTTGCCTTCAATAGTCGTGCTCATAAATAGCGCTGACTTGCCCGTGACCCTACTGGGAGTGGCGATGGGGTTTGTCCTTTGAGACGGTTCTCTTTCTTGTTGGAGAAGGCGGCTATTTTGGGGACACAATGGTCCCTGTGTGGGTGTCTGTGGGCAGCAGCTCTTCTTCCTGAGCTCTCTGGGGTTGCAGGACTCCAGCC